ACCAGGGTTATTTCCTCTCTAGACACAAAGAAGGTATCTTTTTATGTAATGCCCTCCTTGGTTTCTTGCTCAACAAGGCCATTTCTATTTCCCTTCCTGCCTGTTGGAGAAGTAGACAAGTGCATAGCTATGTTTTCCTCTCAAGCTCAGCTTCATGTTTTCATACTCCTGCGTACGGATGGATACAGACACAGTCCTGAAGATCTGCCCCTCCTCAGAGCAGATCTTTCCTTAAGCAGGTACTAGTCTGTCTGAAGGACAATGTAATCTCTGTCATTCTGGTCATTCTGGTGCACCTCTGCCAGACTACCTAGTTGATCCTAGTTATTCCTTTTTTAAGGACTGGAGTGACTTGTGGGACTGGTACCCCTTTCTTATCACTCTTGACAAGAACTTGTGAAAGAGCTTCCCCTCCCTTGTTCCAGTTATCTATTTGGGGTTGAGTACTGTGGGTCTGCATTTTCTTCAGAAACAATATTCAACCAGCTGGGCCCATGGATGTAGCTGATTAGGGTGAGAAAAAGAGTGGGTATTTTTCAACTGCAAAGGGTATCAGATTTTTTTTCCTGCTTTTCAATGTCTATAAGGGGTTCAGAAGAGAAAAAAAAAAAAAAAAACCAAAACCAAAAACACATATTCTGGGTGCTTAGGATTTCAGAATATCAGAATATTACATCTTTCCTCAAGAATGGCCTTGTGAGGCCCACAACCTATTTGTTTCCCCTCTCCACTTGCAGATCCAGCAGGATGGATTCTAAGAATCCACATTGTTCCATTCTGTTGCAGTCCCTTAAGAGTTGTGTAGCAGCCAGGACTCACTGCTCCTTGCATCAGCACAAAAGATTAGTACGTTTCCTGCCTGGATCACGGGGCAGACCCAAGAACTGTACATGAGATAGCATAGAATTTAATTTTGAGACCTTTATTCTCAACCTCTTAACCAGGTGACACGTCTTACTGCTTACCACATATTGCGCACTACCTGAAACTTGAGTTCCTGGTGAAGCTGGCATAACAAGTGTGCTGGTTTTAGTCAGGACAGAGTTAATTTTCTTCACAGTGGCTGGTATGAGGCTGTGTTTTGGATGTGCCCTGAGAACAGTACTGATAAGGTGTTTTTTTAGCTGGTGCTAAGGAGTGCTTGCACCAATTCCTGGTTTTTCCCAGCTTTCATACTGCACCTGTGTTCCCAACTTTCTCACTACAAGCAGTGTGTGGCAGGGAGGGAACACAGTTCAGACAGCTAACTCAAACTAACTAAAGGAGTATTCATTCCATAACATGTCACGCTCCGTAGATAAGCTGGGAGTGGGCTGGGGGGCCATAGCTCGTTTGCTCATTAGCTTGTTTGTTGGCTCGTTTGTTCTTGCGTTTGTTAGTGAGTTGGTGGGTCAGTTGGCTTTCTTGGTTGTGCTGTCACTTGTGGGGCTCGCTCAGACTCTGGTGCGACTGTTCCCGTGGGCTTGCGTGGACTCTGCTGCAATCGCTCTTGGGATCTCTGGCTCCGACTATCGCTACTCGGGACCTGGCTGGGTATCAGTTGGCAGGTGGTGAGCAATTGTAGCGTATGTTTTATTTTCTATTATTTTAATTACATGTTATTAGTAGTATTGTTAATAGTATTGGTATCACTATAATATTCACTTATATTCAATTATTAAATAGTTCTTATCTCAATCCATGAGCTTCCTTGTCTTTTCCTCCAATTCTCCTCCTCTGCTGAAAGGGAGGGGCGGGAGGTGAGCGGGTGGCTGTGTGGTACTTTAGTGCTAACCGAGGTTAAACCACGACAGCCCTTTTTGGCACGCAACGTGGGACTTGAAGGGTTGAGGTAAAATGGAATTGTGATAAGTATTTGTTATAGCGACGTGGTGGCTGGACAGAATGTCAACTTCTCTTCCCTCAGAGTGCTCATTAGAACTGTGGGATGTACCGCGCTGTGTGTTCCTTGCTGTGCACATTGTTCCTGTTTTAGCCTGGTTGAAGGGTATTGCTCGGCTGGGCAGTGCGACAGTGATGGTGGGCACAATCCGGTATCTGCATCCAGTATTATCATCACCCCACTGCTTCATGAACTATGGACTCTGGAGACTATGAACAATTATACTTCCCACTTAAAAATTATTCCAATCTTCTCCCGGGCTAAAGGAAAATGTATGAGTATTTTTGAAATTGTTCATGCTCTTGTGGTACCCTATTGCTAGGGATCAGTGTGCTTCTGCATGTTCTGATCTGGTTCAAAGTTAAAGAACTATTTGGAAATGGTGTCCCGTCTGCTACCGGTGTTTGGTGCAAATGCAGGCACCATGTTATCCAAAGCCCTGTGATGAGAAATGTAGCCACCCAAACTCCTGCAGGGGACCAGGCAGCAACCTGACCCCCTGCAGCCACTCCACCCCCCACAGCTCCACCACCCACTGCAACAAGCACTGTAGCCATGCAATCCGGGCACTGCAACTACCCCCCTCCTGTGGCCATTGCACCCCTTGCGGCTAGTCCATCTCCCACGGTAACTCCAACCCCTGCACGGGATACTGCAGCTACTGCACCTCCCGCAACAGGCAAAGCAGCCATGAAAAACTCTGTGTGCCATTGTCAGTGTCAACCGACAACAGTGTCAGTTGCTACAGTACAGAAAAAGAAACGGGCATGAAAACAGGCCTGCCTGGTCAAGGAGGAGGCAGCAGGGCCGTCACAAGAGACGGAGGAGGAGGCAGAACAACAACTAACCACTAGGTCTTTATCCCTGAGTGAGCTACAGGATACCCAGAAACACTTTGGCCATCATGAGGTGAACACATTACACTTGGCTGTTCCACTGCTGGGGTAACAGGGCCGGTAGTATGGATTTAGAGGGCAGAGAAGCCAAGCAGTTGGGGTCACTTGTTGGAGAAGGGGGCATCAACAAAGCAGCTGGAAGAAGAACAGAAAATGTAAGCCTCTGGAGACGACTCCTGACCAGTGTGAAGGAAAAACATCCTTTTAAGAAAAGTGTGCTAGTGTGTTCTATCACCCAGGCAAGTGGATGACGACAGAGAAAGGTATCCAGTGCCTGAGGGAATTAGCTGTCTACAGATGGTTTATTATGACCTGACCAATGTAAGGTTACCAGGTTCTCCACACACAACCCATGTAGTAGAAATTCCTACAGAGTGCACCATCCTCGTATGCCAGTGTGCTTGCAACAGTAACATGGCAAGAGGATGAAGCACCAACAGTGGATGACATGATGTGCCGATTTCAGGAATATGAGGAAAGTCTCTCTTCCCCCATACAGGCCTGTGTCTCAGCTGTGGAGAGACTATCGCATGAGTTTGAGCAATTCAGAGACGAGATGTGACGCTCCCCACCTGCACGAGCCAGTATCTTCACTCTCAGGAGTAAGCGTTCTGCTCAAAGAAGGAAATACAGAAGGTATCCGCCACGGCGTACCCTGTGGTTATACGGAGGTGAGATGGAAAACCTACCTCACTCCTAGAGGAATGAGTATGTGAATTGAAAGGGAAAAAATTGACAAATGGCGATTCTTTCAGGAAAATTGCTGCTCCATCCTCCAGACGGGATAGAAGACTTGGTATTATGAAAAGGAGCAATAGGCTGTTCTTCCAAGACATAAGTGTACAATGCTGTGGTCAGACCTAGAGGGGCCCAGCCTCCAGCCAGGCGGAGGAGAGGGACAACCGTGTTTACTGGGCTGTATGGATTGGGTGGCCTGGCACATCAGAGCCGCAGGAGCACAGAGCTCCAGTGGACACGGGTGCACAGTGCACCCTCAGGCCATCAGACTATAGGGGGGTACAACCCATCAGTATTTCTGGTGTGACTGGGGGCTCCCAACAACTGACTGTGCTGGAGGCTGAGATAAGCCTGACTGGGAAGGAGTGGCAAAAGCACCCCATTGTGACTGGCCAGAGTTAACTGGACAGTTAATTTTCTTCACAGTAGCTGGTATAAGGCTGTGTTTTGGGTTTGCCCTGAGAATAGTACTGATAAGGTGTTTTTTTTAGTTGGTGCTAAGATGCTTGCACCAGTTCAAGGTCTTTCCCAGCTTCTGATACTGTGTTCCCAACTTTCTCACTATAAGCAGTGGTGGCAGGGAGGGGGAACACAGTTCAGACAGCAAAACCAATCTAATCAAAGGAGTATTTCATTCCATAGCATGTCACGCTCTGTATATAAGGTGGGAGTGCGCTGAGGGGCCATAGCTCGTTTGCTTGTTAGCTTGTTTGTTGGCTCATTTGTTCTTGCGTTTGTTAGCAAGTTGGTGGGTCAGCTGGCTTTCTCCATCATGCTGTTGCTCGTGCGGCTCGCTTGGACTCTGCTGCGATTGCTCAGGCTCTGGCTCAGACTCTCACTACTTGGGACCTGGCTGCGTATCGGTTGGCAGGTGGTTGAGGGGCCATAGCTCGTTTGCTTGTTAGCTTGTTTGTTGGCTCATTTGTTCTTGCGTTTGTTAGCAAGTTGGTGGGTCAGCTGGCTTTCTCCATCATGCTGTTGCTCGTGCGGCTCGCTTGGACTCTGCTGCGATTGCTCAGGCTCTGGCTCAGACTCTCACTACTTGGGACCTGGCTGCGTATCGGTTGGCAGGTGGTGAGCAATTGTAGCATATGTTTTATTTTCTATTATTTTAATCACTTGTTATTAGTAGTATTGATAATATTATTGGTATCCCTATAATATTCACTTATATTCAATTACTAAATAGTTCTTATCTCAATCCACAAGCTTCCTTGTCTTTTCCTCTCATTTTCCTCCTCCACTGGAGGAGGTGGGGAGGTGAGCAGGCGGCTGTGTGGTACTTTATTGCTAGCTGAGGTTAAACCATGACACCAAGTGATAGCCTGATGCTTTTGTCTGTCTGATTAATAATCTCTCACACCATGATGGCATTTTTTAAGAAAAAACGTTAATTTTTTGTTGCCTTTATTATGTCTTTGTAGCTTTGCTGGACTCCCAGCCACTGATGGCTTCGTAAAGTCACCTGACACACTCTGTTGGCAAAGAAATGGCAACGGGTGCTTGTGATGTGTCCAAGCTATTATTCCATCTCCTCCCCAAGTTATTATAACTTTCCCTCATGAACCCATTCCCAGTGTATGATGTCAGCCACATTTAAATAGCACCAGTTATTTAGTTCTGTTTTCAAATCATGGCAAGGCTTTGTTTTTGTTCACGGAACAGAACATGTAGTGTGCACTCTCTGGGTGCATGAAGTCTTCAAGTAGCATAGAGATATCTCTGTGAAAATCCCTCTGAATAGCCCCAAGACCCTTCCAGACTTTGAGACTCGTGGAATCAGTAAACATCACACTTCAACTGGTTCAAGCTGATTCAAATGGACTTGCATGAGCTGGATGCTGTCTAAAATCTTTTTCTGGTGACCAACAAGGGTGATGCCAATACGTTGGATATCTCTGCAAGAGAACAGAAGATGAGGAAGGTGTTAAAATGGGCTTCTTGTTCTGAACGGTCCCAGTCCATTTCCCTGTAGATCCAAATCAATGTATATGCATATATGTGTATGTGTATCTTTTTCTGAGAAACTGTTTCTGAGAAACAGTTGACACAGCTTCTGCTTTTGCTTGGCAAATGTGTGTGGGGTTATTTTATTATAACTTGGTAGGTTATGGAGGTTATTATGCAAAAAGCAGTGGAAGTAGGCTATGAAAATGATCAGAGGGCTGGAATACCTCTCTTAAAAGGAAAGCGAAGAGAGTTGGGGTTTTTCAGCCTGGAGAAGAGAAGGCTTCAGGGAGAACTCATTATGGCCTTTCAGTGTATAAAAACGGCTTACAAGAAAGATGGAGAAAGACGTTGTACCAGGGTGTACTTTTTGACAAGGTACAATGGTTTTAAAATGAAAGGGAATAGGTTTAGATTGGATATAAGAAAGGGCGGTGAGCCACTGGAACAGGTTGCCCAGAGAAGTTGTGGATACCTCATCCCTGGAAGTGTTGGGGTTGGATCCCGAGTCAGGTTGGATGGGGCTTTGAGCAACCTGGTCTACTGAAAGATGTCCCTGCCCATGGCAGGGGGGTTGGACTAGATGATCTTTAAAGGTCCCTTCCAACCCAAACCATTCTGTGATACTAAGAATGTTCCTTTTCCTGGCTTCTGATTTCTACGTAACACTTCAACCCTGTAAAAGGTACAGCTAGGTCTATACATCTCACTAAAAGGGGGTACCACCTGTGGCAGCTGTCATGAACATGCTGGTTTAACAGTCTCTCCGCAACACTGACAATATGTTTTATAGTGTATGTGGGTTCAGTATTAGTGCTTATAGAAACAGATTGCAAATGTACAGCGGTATGAAGGGTATCCAGAGACCCCAGTAAGATGTAAGAAACAGCAGTACTTTGCTCTCGCTTCCCTCTCACTTTTCATGTGTATGTATATCCTATACAGCCCTTACTAAATATTTCTCAGGCTGCTTTTACTTTCTCCGTAGAAAAATCAGTGTTTGGTATCTTCTGCCTCTCTGCCCCTCTACTTACTCCAGAGTCATGCGTGATATGACATCAAACGTAATCAGACCAGCCTGGTCAAAATTCTCCTTGTAACGGCCCATCTTTATAGCATCCAACCACTCGTGGGCATTGCTGAGTGAAGGGAAATCTGGAGGACAGTTGCTCAGAAGAGGCTGAGATGGTCTGCAAAAGAGGCGGGTTCTAAAATCGCACGTTGTCAACAACAGCTGACCATACTAGTAAGGACAGGGTAATGAGAGGGAGAGAATGCTCTGAAGAGCACAGAATGGAGCAGAACAATGATATTTGTTCTTCATGCCCTAATTCCTAACGTCCCACCTTGATGCCCTGTTTCTAGACTACCTATGTTCCCTTTTCGGCCTGAAATCAACCCAACAGAAGAAATTGATCCTTCTTTCCCATTTGCAGGAAATGGGAAAATCTTGCAGGCACGTTCTCTTGTTGCCTTAGGTCTTTGCACAGGTCTAATAGGTCTAGACGTATTAGCTGGGCACAGAGTTGCAGTGAGAAGGTTTCTGTGGCACAGAGATCAGAGCTCATGTCTCTTTGCCTTTGCGACTAGCGCTCCCTCCCCTAGATGCACTCCTTAGATCACAAAGTAACCTATGAGACAATGCATGCATTGTTTCAGCTCCAATGCCCATCAGATAAAAGCACAGTGGTAAAAGGCCAAAGAAATGACTGTTTATAGGAGGCATTTGCTCTTTTCCCTGTCATCTGAATCTGTGCAAAAGCTATAAATCTCTTCATGTGCTTCTTCTTAGTAAGCTGGGCACTTTTCCTCTCCCCCAGCTGTGAAGCACACTGTGAAGTATAGCCATGAGGAAAACCCTCCAGGCCAACAGGATGAAACTCCTTCATCAGCCCAACAGCCATCTAATCTTGGTGCCATTTTCCCTCAGAGACTTCTCCTTTGCTGACTTCCTGCCTCTGGTTCCATTAGGGTGCAAAATGCAGTTGGGAAAAGATAGGATCCAAGCTGCAGTTCCAGTTAGTTTTAGCTACAGAATCCCTTTCCCTGTAAGACAAGGCCTCATTTTCCTTCATCACGTCTTGTGACCATACAGTATTGTGTGATCACAGAATATCCTGTGTAGCTGCACCCAGATGTGTCCCTCCCTTCATTCCCTAAGATTGCTCACTCATGTTCATCCTCAGTACACCTCACCAGATTTATCTCCCCTCACATTTAAAACTCCCAAATCCTCATCATCCATGAAATGAATCAGAATATATAATTCTTCTAAACCTCTCCCCCTCTTTTTTATTTCCTTCCTATTTTTTTCTCAGTCTTAAATGAGAGGGTTGGAAAAAATACTATATAGCCTGATTTACTGCTTTCTTTTCTGCCTACCATGAGACAAGCACTGTTATTTTACACTAAATCCTCATCTCACCTGCTGCTCCCAGTGCCAGTGGCTTTGAGGACAGATGGCTTGCGGATCATTTTATCTAGGGCGCTGACTATTTGCTCAAATTTGGGTCTCTGGACCCGCTCCTTCTGCCAGCAGTCAAGCATCAGCAGGTGCAAAACAGTTGGGCAGTCCTGGGGTGGTGGCAGGCGATAGTCCTGGTCAATGGCATTAATTACCTGCCGGAAAAGAACAAAGCTTTATCACAGTTGGGAAAATAAAAGACAAAGAAGCTTCAGTCATTTGGTGGTGTATGACTTTCTTCTATTTGAAATGATACAGGGGAGAGAGGCAGATGTACCTTCTCACCACTTCTAAAACTTACATCCTGATTGGACATGTCCCAGTAAGGCCTCTCCCCATAGGACATCACCTCCCACATGACAATGCCATAGCTCCAGACATCACTGGAGGAGGTGAACTTGCGATACTGGACAGCTTCAGGGGCAGTCCAACGGATGGGGATTTTGCAGCCCTAGAAAGCAGTCAGAGAGCAACCGGATGTTAGTGAGATAAGGACTATTTGTGAAAATGACAGCACTGAACCGATCAGATGCTGGGAGCATGACAGAACTCTGAGCGCGGAGTGCCAGTCCAGTTGATGCTGTCTTGTAGACATTGTTGTTTAAATTCAAAGCTTGAAGTTTTTCACCTTCTTCTATTGACAAATATGGATGAAAAAACATAATCAGGTTCTCTTGCTGCTACAAATCCCATGATGATTTTAACTTTTATAGTTCTTTGCAGCATTTGAGAGGTGACAGATAGTTAAATCATCTTAAAAGTCATAACCATATGGAAATCTAAAGCCCAACAATCCCAACCTGCAACACCAAGGACATATTTGCGTGGTTAGCAGTAACTCCTTCCTCTTTCCATCTTGATCTCTCTGACTGCAGGTATGACCTGCCAGACGAAATATCATTCAGGTGCTGGTTCTTTAAAACAGATACATCTGGAACTTGTTTCACTTTTCAGTGGCTGAATTCTTCTTCACCCCCTGCATACTGTATGGAAGTTTCAACACACCTATTATACTCCCACCCCTTTTGTGCTATGTATAACAGCTGTCAGAGTTTCAAAGCAGCAGGTTCATCTGAAGATTGGTTGTAAGCCCATACTTATGCCAGTTATCTTTTCTGCAGACAAAACCAAGTCTTTCCTCAAAAGGTGGCAGTACAGGACTTAAGTCTCTCCTTCAGTCCTTTATATTTCCTGTAAGAATCTAATGAAAGGGGAAAGATAACACTTACATCAGGTTATGAGGTTTGTCCACTTTACCATCATTCCACAAAGAATGGCACTGAGACACCATTTCACATGGCAGACTGGATCAGATACTCAGTTATTTTTGGATTTGTGATGGTTTGGAACAGATAGCCCACCAGATAGAAGGCTCTACCCCATTGGTCTCTCTGGTCTCAAGATGGACTAAAAAGGGTACACCAAACCAATGTGGAACACAAAAAAATGATAGATGGCAGCACTACAGTAACTCGCTCCGTAGTGGTAACTCACCAGAGCTCCAGTATAGGTGGGATTTGAAGCATCATCCTCCAGAAAACGGGACAAACCGAAGTCTGACACCTTGCACACAAGGTTACTGTTGACTAATATGTTACGTGCTGCCAGGTCACGATGCACGTAGTTCATGTCTGAAAGGTAGCGCATGCCAGCTGCAATCCCCCGTAGCATTCCCACCAGCTGTAACACACTGAACTGTCCCTCCTTCTGCTGCAAGTGAGGAGGCAAATACAGGCTTTTATGACCACAGAACATGAAGCCAACAGGGAAGACTAACAAAGAGCATAGTAACAAGCTTGATTTATGAAGTTAGAGAGCATACATCTTAACTTCAGCCAAAATCTCAAATTCAGGTACAGCAAATAAGAAAGGAGGGTGGTCTTAAGGCAATGAATCTCAAATAAAGTCAGACACTGGTGATCTTCTGAAGACAAATCTCATCCTGCGGTCATACCCTCCTTTAGCATGACATACCTAGTTTCATTAACGAAGCTACTAAGATAGCTAAATAAGTGGGAGCAGACAAATCTGTACTGCTTAAGACCTTTACAACAGGTTCTGTGCAATTCTACACAGTTGGTTCATGTGCTCTTCAAAATGTACCTGCCAAAGCACTAATGGTTGAATTAGCATCTGATTCAGTAAAAGAAGTAGTGAAGCATCTATATTACAAAAATGTCTGTATTTATGTTTCACTACTAGAAAAAACCCCTGGAAAACCTGAGTCCAAAAATAACTACAAGTTTCATTACTTCATTACAACATTGAAACTTGGAAACACTCAGTGGAACAAAGTCTGAAAAACATTAGAAAGGCAAACTTTGGGGCATGCACATAAGGAACTAGAAAGCTGTGTACAAAGACAAACGATACAGTTCTGTTTACCATTAACTATTTGATCTGCAGAAGTATGAAAAGAAGTTTTGTATGATGGGTGAGCTTTTGGAACATTTTCACCATGCTGGATCAAAGCCACTTACTCTGGTAATTTGCTATTATTTCTATTGCACCTGTAGAGGGCAACTGAGGACTTATAGAGACAGGGGTGAAGAGGAAGGACAGGCAAAACTATCAGATCTGAGACTGGCACACAGCAAGAGTTACAGAAGAGGTGACGGTTGTGGGGGACGCTGGTTGTGGTACCCTGAGGAAGGAATCCAGTGATCCATTCTCCATGAACTCTGTCACAATCATGACTGGTCGGCTCTTGGTGACCACACCCTCCAGATGGATGACATTGGGATGCTCAAATTGCCCCATGATGCTGGCCTCACTCAGGAATTCCCGCCGCTGTTCATCTGTGTATCCTGACTTCAGGGTCTTAATAGCTACTGTGTATTCACGCTTCCCTGGATGTTTTAGGCGCCCAAAGCACACCTCTCCGAATTCTCCTGTCAGGAAAGGAAGAAACACACGACAAGTAAGGAAACACAGCAAAGAATTTTAGTCAGATGTCCTACAACAGTCTACTATGGAAGACTCCAACTAGGACTGTTTGGATTAAGGTCAAGTTCTTCATGAAGGCTCTGAACTCAGTCGGGTTGGAGACTACATCTTCAGGATTCAAATGAAGAGCTGAGTCTTCAAAGGGTGTTTTAAACTTAGTTTGGAGCCAGCATCTAAGGATAAATAGGTTAAGATAAATTTTGGTAAAACTAAAGGTTAGCTGTCCAGAGACACTTCATGTACCGCGTTTGGTCCATTTCAGGCCAGTAGTGTGTCAGGTCTCAAAGTGAACAAGAAAACACTTCAAAATCTGCAGATTCTCACACTACCTGATCCAATGACCTCCTCAATCTTGATGAAGGACACATCAATCTCCTTGGCAAATTCTCGAATAGCTTCATTGGGATCTTCATAGGTTGAAGGATCAATGTAGTACTTCACTCCAAGTCCTGCAGTGGAGGAGAAAACCCAGAACATCACCACAATCAAATCCTGAGAGTCATGAGTGTTACCGAGTCCTGAAAAGAGACAGGCCCTTGCCATCTGTTGCTCAAGAACACTTACCTCGTGCACTGATATACTGCTGCAGGCGGTCTGTGTATGGAGTCTCTCGCCTTTTACTGCAGGACATAAAGGAAAGGAAGTCAAAACACAAACAAGAGTTGTAGGATGTTGGGGTAGACTTCTCAATACAAGATTCAGAGAATCCTTGAATTTAGAGATAGAAGATGGGTGCTAAGATCCTGCCCACCTCTTGGTAATCAGTTCATGCCTGTTTTCTCTGTGTTAATTTTTACACGAACATTTGCATCCCCACTTTAGATATCATAAAAAAGATAGGGTCACCAGCACTAGCCTGAAAAAAATTAATTACAGTTTAACATTACTATCTTGGAAGTCTTCTTGCTATTCAGGCTGAATTTGCATTTTAATTTCATTTAATTATTAGAAATTATTCTTTTCAATACTAATCTAAGACATCTCCTGTGATGCATTTTAAGTTTTTCAAAACATTCTAAGCGCCATTTCCTCTAATGCTTAATTTGTATAAATTTCCTCCAAGGATTAATTTATTTTTGCTTTCCTCCTGGTCCCTTAAAAGCATTTACTTTGACTATTCTTTTCATAAGTATGGTACCCACAACAAACCACACAGAGCCGGGTGGATTGAAGTCTGTTCCACACTGTGACTTCTGCACATGCAGATCAAGACAGGTATGATCTTTATTATTGTAATATGTGTTGCATATATGCATCTCATTTCTAGTAAGCATAGGTCCTTCTCAGCAGAAGTGTTTCTCAGATTTCATTCTCCCCTTAAGTGTGTATGATTCAAGCAATTTTCCCCCATGATGTAGTTGTTATTCTTGGTTTGCTCTAAATATATTTTCCATTTTCAAGTCACTTGCTCTGTTCCCAACAGTGTTCATTTTTTTTCCAAAAATGTACAATTCAGGCTAGTCTACAGTCTTTTATATATCATATTAATTAGACCAGATTGTAAATCAAACCCTATGGTATCCTGGAGTATGCCTGCTGTATGCATGGATTTGTGTCAGCTCGTATGCTTTGCTGTTTCAGCACAAGACCTTCTAGCTGCTGATTCAATTAGCACCTTAAGACAAGAGTGTCATGGAACATTATGTTACTTTTCTTTACTAACAGAACTAATTCTGTCATTCTAACAGGAAACTGTGCATTACTCTGACTTGTCGGGTCTATCTCTGTAAATTATGCTAAGATTGCAAAACCACTGGTATTTCTACCTTTGAAATCCGTTCTTCCTGTTGTGGAAAGAGATTGGCTTTACTGGAGGCCTGTACTTAAGAGCTCTAACTTTGCTATTGCATCTGAAAGTCAGGTCTACGTTCATGTTTTTAGAAGTTATCTGACATATTAATGGTTTTCCAGCATTAAAAAAAGCCAACTAGCTACAAAAGATAAGTGTTTCACACTGTATATTGCCTGGACAATTTATACCAACAATTCACAAACACAAAGTTAAAATTACAGCATTTGACTCTACTTATATTCAACCTTCTCAAGAACTGCTCATTTCATGGGGTGTTCCCCTTTTCCTGCATCTTCAAATTTACTTTTCTTACCAAGGACAAATTTGAAATAGAAATTTGGGATCTCCACTTTTTCTGAACCATGGTCTACTAATTGCATGTGATCCTTCAAGTACAAATGAATTATTTTTTAAAATGGTATTTCCTTTTATGTAGATACATTTACAGAAACCCATTAATGTCTCTCCCCAACAAATCTTTGGTAATACTAATTTATTTTGGGTTTGGTTTATTTTTTTTAGAAAAATATATGCTTTATTGAGTTGTGCACATAATATCACATTCTCAGCTATAACAAGAAATTATATTTTTAACAGTTCAAATCTACAAAAGGAGGCAACAATGCAAATACAACAATATTTGATAATTCTGTTCTTCCTTGAAAGAAAAATATTAAAATAGAATATACACAGAAGTAGAAAACAAATGTAGAAAAGGGAAGAGAACAAAAAACTTACTAAAACTAGATGACACTTTCTAAAGTTATGTAGTTTACACATTTTTTTTAGATCAGCAGAAAAAGCTACATAGTCCCTTTTGTGCAGAGACAGAGTAGAGCAAAGATAAAGATACCCATTACTGACAACCTAGGGGATTAAGTTCAAACCTCAGTAAATTCAAGGAGGGGGTAATGACTCTTTCTTTTCTATAAATAACAAAACCTCCATTGTTTTATACCTCTGCACAGCTCTGCCAGCTACCCTTACTTTACTCTCTTTCTTTTTAAAACATCTGTCCTTCTTTTTTGCCATACCAGATTATCTCTACATTGATTTATCTGACCTTTATTCTTCCCAAAATGGGAAGTGCTATGAGCTGTCTTTAACCTATATTTTATGAGTCAGTGTTTCATGGAACCATTGGGGTTGTACAGCTTTTATTCTTCAGCAAAAGAGCTACTGTCTTTTGGTCCTTGGTTAAAGGGTAATTTAGCACCTTCTATACCAATGGATCTAAATACTTATTCCAACAGTTATTCTTCATTACATTATTTTCTTCTCCACCTGCTTGCCTAAAATGCAATTTACAGTTCCTTCTTTACACCGATGCATTTCATTACCTTTTGAGCACCAGCTTTAAATGCTTCTCTTGTGTTCTTATTGCTAGCTAGCCAAGTATCAGCTAAGCATTTGAGCTGTTTACCGAAGAGGAGATTCCTCAGATAGCAGCAATGGGGAAGATCTGTCATTAATTAGAAAATTGCATCTCAAGGCTATCTGGATAAATGTAGATCAGGCTGTTTTCCCTGGGACAGGGTTACATAGCAGAGGTAAGAAGGTTCCACTGTTTGCAGTGCAGGCACTGGCACATGAGCAGTTCAAGGAATTCACCTCTTGAAGATGATAGCAAGGATGGCAATGGCAGCAATTACCAAGAAGGCTAGACCACCAAGCGCTGAGCCCACGATAAGCGGCAGTCGGTCCTGCACCATCTCCGAGCGCTCACCTAGCAAGGAAGACACATGCATACACATACACAAATGAGGACAGGAACTGGTAGAGTTTCCCTCCTACTCAACTAGGTCTCACCCATAATTGCATCTCTACCAGCCCTTTGATTCCCAGGCTAATCCTGACAGTTCAGTAAATGCTTGACTTGGTTACCCTTTTACCCCTTCAGTCACTGTGCTTCTCCAGTGCCTTCCTTCTTACTTCTGAAAAGCCAGTGCTCCTTCCAAATCCACTTTTCCTTCTCCTGGTCCACGGACACCTGACTAGCCACTTCAGTATAGGCTAGCTCTACACCTGGGCTTTGACGCCACTGTCCCCTATTAATTTAGTTTGTAGATGACATACATGAGTATCTTTGATCCAGACCAAAGAGTATCACAAGGTAGTATGTTACACTCTTGTTGTGGTTTAACTCCGGCTA